TCCCCACACAAATGTTTCCATTTTACTACTCAGATTTCCATCTTTTCCTCCACTAAAGTGTTTGCTTCAAGCTCAATACCTACTGGAGTTACACATTCAGTCTTATCTGCATCTTTATTGCAGATCCTTGAAATGGTTTAGTGAAGGGTCACGGTCTGCAGGAGATGCATGGCAGCAAACTCGGGGGCTCTATGTTCACTGCATGTCCAGAAGTAATGTTAGATAGACCATAAAGAAGGTCTGATGTTGGAAAAATGACCCATTGATTCTTGAAGAGTTTTTCTTGAAGAAGACCCAGGTCTAATTGTCAGCACCTGCACTGAGGTTCACAACCTGTTGTGGAATATTGTTTTAACTCATCCAAGATGTGTTACATTTGTTTATGAAGAAGAATATTACTTTAACTGTGCAAAGGAGTGTTACTCTTGTTTATGCTGCATTTATTAAATTATGTAAAGATGTGTCACCTTGGTTTCACCATACCGGCCTAAGGCACCTGATTGGCCTAATGAAAAGCTGAACAGCCAAGAGCATTCAAAACTAATAAGTCTCCCTGTCATGGTTTGGGAGCTTGGTGGTGGCCCAAAATAAAAAGCCTGTTACAAAATTCATTTACAATTCCAGCTCCAAGGCATCCAATTTTCTCTTCTGATATCTGTGAACACCAGGCACATGCATGCTGTACAGATATACATGAAACCTCAACACTCATATACATAAAGTAAAATAAATGAAAAAGGATGCATTTACATTCAATATACATTATTTTCCTTGTCTTTTTATTCTTCTCTCATATATTGTATCCCAACTGCAGTTGCCCCTCCCTCCTCTCTTTCCAGTCTCTCCCTTACCTTCCCTCTTCCCCAGATCCACTCTTCCTCCATTTCCCTTCTGAAAAGTGCAGGCCTCCCAAGGATATCAACCAAACAAGGCATATTGAGTTACAATAAAAGTATGCAAATTCCCTCATACCAAGGTAGGATGGAGGCAACTCATTAGAAGGAAAAGGGTCTCAAAGGCAGACAAAAGAGTCAGAGACAGTCCCTGCTCCCACTGTTAGGAGTCTCACAGGAAAACCAAGCTACGAAACCATAACATATGCAGAAGACCTAGGTCAGACCCATGAAGACTTGTTGATTGTCAGTTCAGTCTCTATCAGAACCTATGAAACCAGGTTAGTTGATTCTGTGTTTTTTCTTATGGTATCCTTGAACTTCTGGCTTCTACAATCCTTCCTCACCCTCTTCCACAGGATTCCTCCAGCACCTTCGAATATTTGGTTGTGTATCTCTGCATCTGCTCCTTATCAGTTGCTGGATAAAGCCTCTGTAATAATGATTATGTTAGGTTCTTATCTACCGGTAGAACAGAGTAATCATTAGAAATCATTTCATTGACCTTTGTTTTCCCATTTGTATTTGGTTCTATCTTAGGTCCCTGGGCTATCCAGCTTCTGGTTCCTGGCCATGCAGGCTGAGTCAGTCATTGGTTCCCTCTCATGCCATGGGTCTCTGTCTGGACCAGTTTGCCACTCCCACAAGTTCTGTGCCTTCTTTTCCAGAGCACATCTTGCAGTTAGAACAAATTGTAGGTTGAAGGTTTTGTGACTGAGTTGGTGTCAAAATCTCTCCACTGGAAACATTGCCTGGTTATAGAAGATGGCCAGTTAAGGTTCTATAACCCCATTACTAAGAGGCTTAGCTAGCAACACCCTTGAAGATTCTAAAAAATTGGAAAATATAAAAGAAATGGACAGTTTTCTTGAGAAATACCACTTACCAAAGTTAAATCAAGATAAGATAAATGATTTAAATAGACCTATAACCCCTAAGGAAATAGAAGCAATCATTAAAAGTCTCCCAGCCAAAAACAAATCCCAAGGCCAGACAGTTTTAGAACAGAATTCTATCACATGTTCAGAGAAGAAATAATACCAACACTCCTCAAATTATATCACAAAATACGGACAGATGGAACATCACCAGATTTATTTTGTGAGACCACAGTCATCCTGATATCAAACCACACAAAGACTTAACAAAAAAAAAAAAGAGAAGTACAGACCAGCTTCCTTCAGGAATATTAATGTAAAAATACTCAATAAAATACTTGCAAACAGAATCCAAGGACACATCAAAAAGATCATCTACTATGATCAAGTAGACTTCATTCCACAGATGCTGGGAAGGTTCAGCATAGGAAAATCTCTCAATGCAATCCACCATGTAAACAAACTGAAAGAAAAAAGTCACCTGATTATCTCATTAGATGCTGAAAAAGCCTTAGACAAAATCCAACACCCTTCATAATAAAAGCCTTGGAGAGATCAAGGATATAAGGGATATACCTAAACATAGTAAAGGCAATTTACAGCAAGCTATTACCCAACTTCAAATTAAATGGAGAGACACTCAAAGCAATTTTACTAAAATCAGGAACAAGACAAGATTGTCCACTCTCTCCATATCTATTCAATACAGTACTTGAAGTTCTCGCTAAAGCAGTAAGACAATTTTCCTTTTCTTCAGAAACAGAATGTACCAAATATTATTCTGTCAAATGGAATTTAGAACTGAAAATCCTGTGATAACAGAGTCAAGCTATAGGTATTACATACTGACAATATTCTCAAAATTGACAGGAGACTGAAACACACAGACTATAACAGGAAGTAGTATATACTACATATACCAGTGTAGTTTATTGTAGACTTTACTGTCTTCTACTAACACACACAAAAAATATGATCATACTTTGAGCTAAAGAAATTATAAGATGGAGTTATTTCTCTGTCATAGAGCCCATGATCTACATGTGCAATGACCTACATTTAATCCCAGGCATTCAAAAAAATCAAAGGAATACAAACAGAAGAAAGAAAGAAAGGAAGGAAGGAAGGAAGGAAGGAAGGAAGGAAGGAAGGGAGGGAGGGAGGGAGGGAGGGAGGGAGGGAGGAAGGGAGAAAGGAAGAAAGAAAGAAAAAAAGAAAGAAAGAAAGAAAGAAAGAAAGAAAGAAAGAAAGAAAGAAAGAAAGAAAGGAAGAAAAAAGGGAAATTTTATGGTTTCTAATATAACAAAATTGATAAAATTTTGCTATACAATTTATTGGTTTAAAAAAGTAATAGAAATCTTAAGGAAAAAATAATGCATGTTAACTTTTTCTATTAAAAACCACACAAGAAAATATTAACATTAGCAATATTATTCACATTAATATTCTTTAGTACTAGAGTATTAATTAATAATGAAAAAATTAACTCTAATGTAAAAATATCATCTAAATGTCGGCTTTTCCTTTGCTAATATTATTTTCTTCTGGATTGGATGCAAAACTCACTAAAATAATTTACATTTGCAATATGAAACTTCTGTTCCAAAACCTAAAATATTCCCTTGTGTCATCCTGTTTCTGTTTAATCTGTTAATATATCCAAATACCCTATCTTGAAGTGATTGTTCTTTTGGTACTAACCTGTATAGAAATCTCTACCTTAAACTATCTTATATATGCTGCACTAAATCTAATACTTTGCTATAAAGGAAATATTATAATTAGTATGCCCAGGAGAAATCTTAATATTTAAAGATGAAGAGATCAAGTCAGAAAAAGGGAATAAGGATTACAAAAGAATCATTGTGATTGCAACCCTAACATTGACAGGACAGCAGAACATCCCAGAGTCTCAAGAGTGAATTTTTCTCTGTGTATCTTATTAGTGTTCTAGAACAATCTAAATAAATACATGGCAAGAGTTTTGAGTCACAGGGTGGTGTTGGTGCACGCCTTTAATCCCAGCACTTGGGAGGCAGAGCCAGGTGGATCTCTGTGAGTTTGAGGCCAGCCTGGTCTACAGAGTGAGATCCAGGACACGCACCAAAACTACACAGAGAAATCCTGTCTTGAAAAAAAATGAAACAAAACAAACCAACAAACAAAAAAAGAATTTTGAATCAATCTCCAAATAAAATAGATTCCTCCAAGTGTATGCATTTTCACCTATACTCACACTTGCTACAATTATTTGAACATAGCACAATTTACTGAATCCAGAGAAAAACTTAAGTTGATAAGACCAACATGTCTTTATAAAAAAATAACTAATTGGAATATATATGCATATACATATACATACATGCATGCAATAACAAGTGGCAGGGGAGAGGTTACAATTCTTTTCTGGTTTTCTTTTCCTTTTTTTTTTTTTTAAAATGTATTTGTTTTATATACCAACCACAGATCCCCCTCTCAACCCTCCTCCCACTCCTCCCACCCCTGCCTACTGCCCCTGCCGCTCCGACCCATCCCTCATCCCCTCCTCCAAAAGGATAAGTTCTCTCATGGGGGGACAGCAAACCTTGGTACATTCAGTTGAGGAAGGATCCAGCCCCTCCTCCCTGCCTCAAGACTGAGCAAGGTGTCCGACCATAGGTAATGGGATGCAGAAAGCTGGCTCATGCCCCAGGCATTGATCCTGATCACACTGCCAGGGGCCAAGAGGTTACAATTTTAAAGGAGAGCAGGAAGGTATATATGGGAGAGTTTTGAGGGAGGAAAGCAAAGAGAGAACTATTGTAATTATATTAAAATCTCAAAAATAAAATGCTAAAAATAAGGAATCACTAATCGGGAAAGTAAATCTTATCAGGCTTCAAATAGGAAATGTGATTATGTAGATAGATATATATTAGGTGGAAACTTCAGAAATCTACAGGAAGGTGGTCAGAAAGTTACAAATATAGCCAAAAGTTGTTGAGACAGAAAGGCTGGAAAGGCAGAGAAACAGGATCAAACATCAACAAACACAAAAGGTCTTCACACTTAATTTATATTTCACAGTTTATCCCTCTATGTAAATTGATGCAACACCGTTTCACATTGTCTCTTTACTATATGAGCTTATAATCTTATGCCCTAAGAAACTGATATATTAAACTAATAATAAAAATAATATTTATTAACTCCTAATTTAAAGCTATGGAAAAAGATAGAAGACCTTCATTTATTTCCTATCATCTGAGATCAGTTTCTTCCTCCATAAATTTTTCATGGCATTTTTCACTTCTGCATTTCTCAATGTGTAAATCAGAGGGTTGAGCAAAGGTGTCCCAATTGAATAAAATGTAGCTATCATCTTGTCCATAGGAAATGTGGTTGCAGGGCGTGTGTATATAAAAATACAAGGTCCAAAGAACAGGATGACCACAATGATATGGGAGACACAGGTGGACAGGGCTTTTCTCTTCCCTTCAGCACTGTGGTTTCTTAGGGAACGCAAGATGATGACATATGAGACCATTAGCATGAGGAAACTCACTGTACAAATGGCCCCACTGTTGGACACCAGAAGTAGGTTGATCATATATGTGTCTGAACAGGCAAGTTTCAGCAGTGGCTGCAAGTCACAGAAATAGTGATCGATCTTATTGGGACCACAGAAAGGTAAACTCAAAGCAAGAAATATCTGAACTAAAGAATGCACACAGGATCCCACCCAGGCCATGGCCACCAGCATCCCACAAACCCGGTGGCTCATGATGGTCATGTAGTGCAGAGGCTTACAGATGGCTACATAGCGGTCAACAGCCATGAGGATGAGGATGAAGATCTCCAGGCAGCCAAAGAAATGGAATGTAAAGACTTGTATTATGCACTCACTGAAAGAAATAGAGGCCTCCTTCATCAGAGAATCCACAATTGTTCTAGGGGCTATGGTTGTAGAGAAGCAGGTGTCAGATAAGGATAAGTAGAACAAGAAGAAGTACATTGGACTCCCAAGTGCCTGGCTTGTCTTGATGGTAGCAATGATCAGCAAGTTACCCAGTAATGTTCCCATATAAAAAAGCAAAAACACAACAAAGAGAATTTTCTTTCTAAATGGATCCTGTGTCAAACCAAGTAGAATGAACTCAGTCACATTGTTACTCAGCCACATTGTTTAGTGATCAGAAGTGGTAAATATGAAATACTTTATCTGAAAAAAATAAAGACATTTATTTTGAGAGTGGTATGTGATTCTGTGGAGCACATTATGCAAAAGTAAGTAATCCTCATTAGTGATATTCTGTTATATTTTAATAAATGATTCAACACTTTTTCCTAAAATTTTGTGGCAATCTATTTGCATTATTATGTTCCCATGACACTCTGCAGGCACAAATCCCTGTTATCACAATTATGGTTAATTTTACAACTTAATGATTATAAATTTGGAATATGTTATCTGTAATATTTTATCATTAACTTTATTTTTCATATGAAATGGGAAGCCTATCATCACCTCACAATAAAGAATGTCATATTTTTAAAATATTGTTATGCATATTTTCAGACTTGATTATATAATATTTCAGCACTCTACAAAACTTATTTCAGGTATTTTAGCCTAAACATGCGAAAAATAAATATTTATAACTTCCAAATAATCTTAAAATATCTTGTGACACTTATTACTTGACATAATCAATGGATCAGAATAAATGTTTTTGGTTACTAGAACTATCATTAGTATTACAACTTTTAATTATTGCTTATTGTAGGAGAGGCATACTTTTGAACATCCAGAGCCCCGAGGTTATAGTTGAATAAGATGAAAGTGGTAGGTATCATTCTTCAATTTTTTTCTTTTTTTTAATAATTTGATTTAATTTTACATATCCACCACAGATTCCCCTGTCCTCCCTCGTCCTGTTCCCCCCGCACTCCCCCTATCTCACCCCCCATTCCCATCTCCTCCAGGGACTCCTTTGGGGATTCAGCTCAACCTGGTAGATTCGGTCCAGGCAGGTCCAGTGCCCTCCTCCCAGGCTGAGGGAAGTGTCCCTGTATAAGCCCAAGGTTCCAAACAGCCAGCTCATGCACTAAGGACAGGTCCTGGTCCCACTGCCTGGGTGCCTCCCAAACAGTTCAAGTTAATCAATTGTCTCACTTATCCAGAGGGCCTGATCCAGTAGGGGGCTCCTCAGCTATTGGTTCATAGTTTGAGAGAAAGCCTGAACTGACCTACTCTGGGGATCCGATGGTCAAACACCCTAAATGTCGTGCTAGAAATCACATGCAATGACTGATGGAAGCAGTTGCAGAGATCCACGACCAGGCCCCAGGTGGAGCTCCAGGAATCCAATGGAGAAAAAGAGGAGGGACTGTATGAGCGAGAATTGTTGACACTAAGATTGGAAAAAAGCACAGGGACAAATAGTCAAACTAGTGGAAGCACATGAACTATGAATCATTCTTCAATTTTTAATATTTTTGTGATAACAGTTTTATTTCACATGTGTTACAGTCAGCTGCCAGGGGACTAGAAGACAGATGCAATCCCTAGTAGTTTTAATATCAATATGTCTATAAACACCATGTTCTTGGAACAGAGCAGTAATTCAGAAGAGAAAGGAAGCTGTGATTTTGCTGAAAAGGAATGTAAATAGTCAGTAATTGACTCTTTGTTCATTTTGTTTTGCCTGCAAATGTCAATAATTATCCATTTTTAAATATCACTTCTTTCAATAAATAATTAATATAGAATATTCTATTATGTTTTTCAATCTTAAGAACAGAGCTTTTTTACTAATTATTACTTGTCAAAATGATTCTGGATGATTAGATAGAACGATTGATCTATAGATAGATAGATAGACAGATAGATAATAATGAAAATGAAGATAGATGATTGATTGATAGATAAATAGATAGATGATAGATAGATAGATAGATAGATAGATAGATAGATAGATAGATAGATAGATAGATGATAGATAGATAGTCAGGTCATACTAATATTGAAGTGGAATCTATGTGGAAGACATATGTATTACACTGTGCTCCTACCAATCTCGCCAACATATTTGTGGCATGATGTTGAAAGCTATTAGTCAAAACAAGAGATATGACATACAAGACCTACACAAAATTATCGTTATATTTATTTACTTTTCTCTATTTGCAAATTTTCATCTCTTTAGTAGACTTGAGAAGTGTTTGCTTTCTATAAATAAAAAAAAATACTCATTCAGATGTCAATCAAAGTTTCTCACCTTAGCTTCTATGATCTTTGGCAAAGATGTTAGGCTGTAATAGAACTGAATTGCTCTATTAATTATCAAAATGGACCTATTCATTCCTTATTTTTGCACTCAAATGGCATGTTTGTACATGAAAATAACATATGCTGAGTGGACACGATGATGGAAAAAGTGCATTCACCTCAAACCTATTTAGTCACTTCTTGGAGAATACAGTGTTTTGAATGTTTGCTATGAATTCCATTAGCATTTTCCATTTCTAGAACAAGCTCATTAACCTCAAACATGAACATAGACTTTTTATATATAAAGAATTTATATATAAATCTAGTGCTTTTTATATATAAAGTACTAGATTTAACAAACGGTAAAATTTATAGTTCTTGATCAAACATCTAATCATTATTTTCATCAATAGTTAAAGGCCATCATTCCCTCTGGAACATATTAAATTTATAGCTATTATGACCATCTAGACATTTGAAGACTCAGTTTTAAAGACAACTCAAAGAATCTTTTAATGATTGTTTTGTAACAAGGAAAATAATCCCTGATTTCTGAAAGGCCTTTCCTCATAGCCTTTGTTGTACTAATGTAGGTATTTGATTCATTGCAATTATCTGAATGGCTCTTTAGTTTTCTTTCTTGAATAAATATGCAGAAAATCTATGCTCCCAAAATATCTTGCTCCACTATAACAAACTCAACGTCTTGCATATAGTGATAACTAACAGTTTAAGTTGAGTATTGTCTCTTATTTCTTAAAATGCAATGCTTCTCTTGTAGATCAAGAGATGTTTCAGTGGGCAAAGTGGTTGCTGAGTATGAGGACATGAGTTCATATCTCTACCACGTAAAATACTAGGCATGGTGAAATGCACTCATAACCCAAGAGCACAATGCAAACAGCCCTGCAATTCTAGCCCAACTGAACTTCGTAATATTGGAAACAGCTGAAGAAAACATCCTGATGTCCACTTCTGACTTCCACACATGGGCAAACACACCCTCACACACGTGTGTACATACACCCACACTTCAAATTTAGTTTTTATCTGATTATTTTAGTGCTTTTCTGACTTTATATTCAAATCATGAATTTATTAGAGTTTTCATGTACTATGGATGGAAGGCAAGAAAATATTATCCTTTTTTAAAAAGCCTCAAGATCTAAATAACTGGTGAAATAACAGCATGATCTGTAAAACAAGATGTTGTATTTTAAACCACGCTAATATTACTGGGGTTCTGACACCCACTAAGTGAAAATTTTCAGAATCTGTTGGTGAGGTTTTACATGGGTAATCTTGACATTTTCACATCCTCTTGATACAAATCTATTCTTCTTGGGTATCTGTACATATAATCCTTTGTCCATTTTCCAACAGAAATTGTTACCTTTTTCAGCAGGTTCTGAAAGCAATCAGGTATGAAAACTCTATTGCACTGGTCTGAAAACATAGCAGTGCTGGAGACACTCCAGGATGTCTACAAGAGACCATCATAATAATAAACACACAATGAGTTGATGTTGTAGGTGGTGGAAAGAGCTGAATGAAAAGCAACCCAGAAAAGGTGGAGAACAGAGGTGGACCAGAATGTGTAGTGATTATTCCCATGGCTCTATGCTGTACTTTGTAGTCCCCATGAAAAGCATCACTGCTTCTTCATGTTCCTATCCTTGCTAATTCAGCTATACTGCTTGTCTCTCTTGTAGAGAACCTCTACACTCCCTTTATTCATGAGGAGGTTACCATTCTCACTGAAAAGACAAATAGCTTTTTCTTATCCGTAGAAAAACATTCTTTCTCTGGGAGTTCTAGTCCTTCCTAAAGACCAAAATAAAGAGTGATAATCTTCCCTTCTGGTGGAATGATACATGAAAAGTAGCTTGCCTGAGGACTCATTATATAATTGAAAGCTCCAACCTAGTTATTGCACACCAGGTTCCTTAAATAATTATTTTTTCAAATATTACTAAGCAGAGGACATGATCCTTATATTTGGGGGATAGTAAATCATAATAGTGTATTTTTAGTTAAAAAAAAAGAGTTAACTAGGGACAAAAACTGAGGAAAAAGAATATTTTTTATCCTCAAATATTTTCAGGATTTCCCATGCTAACTTTATAGCATTTCTCTCTCACCTTTAATATATATATTCATATTTATGTGTCATTAATTCATGTTATTATTAAATAGATTACATATTGCATATATTATGTTTAGAGTCTTTTTTATATTTGATTTGAAAAGTCTCTGAAATAAAGTCATTTACTTTCCAAATTTCAGATGTGAATAAATCACAAATTACAATCTCACGATATCATTGCAGAAATATGGGAATAGTATAGTATTCTGCTCTTTGTCAGTAAGAGGTGAAAAAACTGACATCCTCCAGAAAACTAGGTAATGTCACTAGTCTTTGTTCACCTTACTCTTACTGTTGATAAGGCACACAATCTCCTCTAAATTCTGGCACCTATAGTATCTTAGTGATATCGTGTATTATCCCATCACCTTGCAGCTAAAGTGTTTGGGAATTATTTTGCACTCTCCAATATCAATAGATTATGGTCAAGTTTAACATATGAAACACATCCTTGTTTTCCCACTATAATTGTTCATCACAAACATGGAATTTATATAAAACTTTTGTCAACATCAAAGAATGTTTTCATCCAAATATTTCACTTGATTTATTTTCTTTATAACAGTAAGTGTTTTAAAGTGTAGGATTTTTTATATAGCTTGCTTATAGGGTGTCAGAAAAATGCAAATTTAAGACTGGACATATATTAAAATATACTTAATTAATCTGTGATAATGACAGTCAGACCTCAGAAAGCAAAACCTGTCACTTACCAGCTGGAGGGCTCAGGAAGTTAATATCATTGTCTGCCTATCGCCTTTTAAGACAGGTTTTCCATA